CAATTCCCCCCTTGTGCCAATATGCACACAAAGCCCTTGCTCTCTCCTTGCCACATCCCACTCCCTCCCCAATATTCCCTTCTCCAGGCACTCCGTTTCCCTTCTCCAGGGGCTGCTCCTGCCTGGCCCCATCTCCATTTGGCTAATTCTCCCTGTGGCCCCTGTATTGAACTGTTGTGTTGTCCATTTGCCTGTGACAAGGGCTCTGGTTACAGAGTTATTGATTGGTTTTCATGCAGACAGATGGGCCCTTTCCGAGCTCCCACCGAAATCCCTGGCTGTATGGGCTGATTGTTGCCTCTTGGGGTGTAGGATTGCACTGGAGACCACCCTCCATGCAACCTCCTTTGGCCAGGCTGTGCACGGTAATAAATGGAGGCAGCCTGAGCGATAGTAAAAGCAATTGAGTAGGTTACCTCTGCAGACACAAGATTTATGCCTCTTCATATTTGATGTGATTGTTTTATTGAGTTCTCAGAATAGTTGGGACACTATTTATTTATTTATTTATTTATTTATTTAGGGTATTCCCTCTCTTTCTTTCTTTGCATCACCCTCCAAAACCCACCTGGAGCTTTCATTAGGGACAACCTCTCCTGTCTTCCTCTTTTCAAGAGTTGCCAGGTCAGGTACAAACTCAGGGCAAACAGCCACTGCTCTCACCTGAAAGCCATTTTGTGGCCTGACCGCCCACTCTGAGCCAGCCAACAGGGAAACAGTCAGACCAATGAGACTGCTGGCCAAGAAGTCTAAAATAACTAAGAGAACAAAGATTGCTTTTCAGGAGGACAACTCCAGCTCATTTTAAGGAATAAGAAGACCAACAGTCATGACCAGTTCACATGTTATTCTAATGAAGGGCAACCTCGGCAGCAGGAGACCCTCTCTGGGGAAAGAGAAGCGAGCAACGCTTCTCAGACGGAAATTGGCATGTCTGTCTGCTGTGTCTCGGGCTAGTAGGCCCAGGGCCACAGAAGGCAAGTTCTCTCTCCTCATTTCTCCCATTCCTCTGTGGGGAGAAGTCTTCTTCTTAGTCCACAAACTAGCCTCGGCTCTTGGCCATGAGACCAACAGCCCTGACCACCAAACAGCTGCAAGGGTTTAGAGATGTGGCAGGCAATGCTGCCCCTCTGGCCCAGCTTCATGCCAAGCCAGGTCCAAGAGTCAAACGTGCAATGTTCTAGAACCTGAGTTTCAGAGAGAGAGATACAGACCCCAGCCCTGAACATGTCTTCAGCATTCCCTTGGCTAGGAGGAGTGGTTCCCAGCTTATCTGGAAAGGTCTTTGAATGAACAGCTGGTAGACCACCGTCACCCCACTGCCAGACCTCTGATGAAGACCTGCGAATGACACAGGATGGAATTCTTTAACAGCAATGGGGCTGTAGCCCTCTTGAAGCCAGCGTTGTCACTGCTAGGAGAATGAATGCTTGGCTCTCACTTAGAGCCAAACAGGCTAAGAGACAGTGTGGGTAGCAGGTGATCAGTGAGAAATTGGCTCTGGAAGAGTCCAATCCAAAGATCTAGGGGCAGGGAGTGCCCTGATCCCAAAGAGTGTAGGGCAGGCTGAAAAAGTTAAGAGAGCAATGGCCTTCTTGTCAGCTCAATCCAAGAGAGTGCTCTCAGGGGATCTTCAATAACCCTAGACTCTATCTGAAGTTTGTGCCTGTCCTTTCAACGTAGCTGTATTCCCTGCCCAGAGCAACAGCCAAACCAGAAGACTTTGGCATATAATCAGGTAAATCCTTCCTCCTAGTCAATTGCTCAGCCATGTAACTAGGAGGCTTTTCCCCCTTTTAGTAGCATGGATCTCCCTCCATCTTTTCCCTCTCCTGGCCATCTCCCACACCAGGTTTCAATCTCAAGTCACCTGCTTATAAACACCCACCCTCTACAGCGGCAGTGACCCAATATTGAGAATGATTCAGATAAATTCCACATGCTAAGCAATCCAGTCAACCCTCTGAAGTTTTGACAGTGGTCTCTAGGGGTGAGAGTGGGATTGGGAGGCCTCCCTGACCTACTCTGTTGCCTCAGAGAGGTATTTCTATGAGGATTTGCCAATGGAGAATGAGGGTTTGATGTCCGAGCCGTTATCGCAACAGGATCAGAGAAAGCCAAAACCACTTTTAAAGCATGAAAAGCAATTTAGTATATAACCGTAACAGCATATTTTAAGTGCAGCGGCAGCATCTGTTTTTGGGGGGGAGAAGATGAAAAACTTTACGATTTGGCTCAGGTGGGTGAGCATGTGTGGACTTCCTTTCTTGCCAACCACCGGCACATGCACACCCTTACTCATGTTGGTTATAAAGTACCCAACACAAGTGGGCACCTCACCAACAGTAAAGCTCTAAACTCAAGGATCACTCGTTCCCCAGTGCGCCACACTTTCTGCATAGAAGAAAATCTCTAGGCTTTTCCTACAGCGGGTAAGAATTCACAAAGTTCCTGGTATCACCATTGCCAGCAGAAACATCCTGCCTTAATTAGGGTTTAGGGTGAAACAATGCATCTCAGATGAACCTTCCCCTTTCGGAGCAAAGCACCTAAAGGGATGAAGCTAAGGGCGTGGGGCCCAGGTATATCTCTCCAGCCCGACTCAGCAGCACACTGGGAAGCCCCTAGAATTCTTTCCAAAAATATGAACCGCAGTAAGAATCTGTCCCAAAGCAAAATCAAGAATGCCCCGACTTCTCCTTGTTGACAAAGCAAGCCGAGAATCCTAAATGTGGATCCAGGGCTGGCTGCCCAAGCTGCCAGGGGCCTCCCTGTTCCTCTCCTCCCACGCCCTCTCCATCTCCAGCAACACCTGCCCACAGATGGCTGTTTCTCCACACCCAAAGGAAGCTTCCATGCCCCTCAGGTGATGGGGCTCCTCACTGAGAAGATTCTGCAGCTATCTGAGCTGTCAAGCTGAGGCATTCTTTCTCCCACTCATCCCACTCACAGCTCACTATTCTACTTTCTCCCAATTCTGGTGGGCGCACCTCAAGGTCTCTGGGACTTGATCCTGGGTCACCTGTCCCCTGCTCTCCATGACTTTTCAGGATGAGAGCATTCTCACACTTTTGCATAAGCCGGCTTCCCAAAACACCTCAGCCAGCGAGGGGTATACATTGGGAAGAGGGAGGACAAGGGGTGCTTGCAAAGGGGTGACACCACCACACCTGCCTTGATTGCTGATTCTCCACCCATCAAGAGAAGCAAACTGCCTTAACCATACATGACTTGGGTTCCTCCAAAGACTTGAAAATCCTATCACTGACAACAAGCATTTCTCTCTAATGTTCTCCAGAACACCAGCACCCAGTCCCAGCAACGTGGCTCCTGAGCAAGGCTGCTCTCCTCCCAAGACCGAGGTTCCAACTCACTCCCAGAACCAGCAGCCAGCCAAGAGGCTGAGTCTCTGATGGCTCAGAAAACAATGCTTTGTCCCCTTTTCTTCCCTAACCGCCACTCCTGCCCCAGCCGCAAAGCTTCCCCAGCTTCCTCCTCCGGCTTTTAAATGCAAACGCCTCTCAGCCTCTCTCTCCAGCTCCTTCGGAAGGTGTCTGAATGTCAAACCGCTATGCTTTCAATACCTAGCTGAGCCAGGCCCAGGGAGCTGGAGGGTTTTCGGAGGGTGTATAATTAGCTGATCAGTATTATGTTACCCTGTTCATAACTGAATAACCATTTTAATACAGATGGCACACACTGGGATAATTTCTGGGGTTGCCTCGCAGTACGTTACAGCAGGAATGTGGCAGAGGGAATCTTCTTTAGCCAAGGTACATTCTACCAGCTAATTTTACCTGCTGTTTTCAGGATGATTTGGGATAATTCCATATCATTTGCAAAATATTAAAAAAAAAACCTTAATATGTGATGCCAGTTTCAGAAAAAGGCACCATCTGAATTATTAGTTGCCCTGATAATGAGCCTATGAAGAGTGCAAAGAATAACATGGGAATGAAACCCACAGCCTTCTTCTCATTTGGGGATTTGCCTTAAAACGAGGGGCAGGAGTTGAAAGGCTGGCCAAGGCTGTCTGGAACTTGTACAGGGTCTCTGGTGATGTCGGGTTGCACAGCTCTGTGAAGTTGAAGCCATCCTGGGTTCTGCCGTCTAAGTGCTGTTTTTATGCGCTGTACCCACCACAGATAGCCACATGTGCACACTGGCCGGCTGTGCATACATGGAGTGTGCCCATGTGTTCTCCCAGACAGCACACTGGAGTGGCTTGGGGATTGGGAGCTTATCTTGTGCTACTATATATCGAGCTGACTCCAGCCTGTTGTTGTCACTGTGTGCCTGAGCCTGTCATCAGTGCCGGCTCAGGCCTGGACAGGCACCCTAGGTGGCTGGAGGCATCTCCTAAGGTTCAGCCTCAGGGTCCAGAGCTCTCCCTTCCTGCCTGGCATCCCACTCCTTGTCCAGCTCCTCGTCCAGTCCCTGCCAATTGCTGGCTGGTGGTTGGCGTTTGCTCTACAGGCCTGGATACTTGTGCTTCTAGCCTGGAAATTTGTGTGAAGCTGGCTAGCAAGGCCCAGGCTCCCAGGAGGCAAGCTTTGTGGGAGCTGGAAGGGAGGGTGGCGGAGCCAGGACAGGTGGTTGCCCCTGGGGAAGGGAGCGTGCCTTCAGAAAGCAAAGTCTGTTTGGAAGCAATGAATAGACACTGGTCATTTTAACGGCTTCGGCTGTGGGCTGTGATTGTCTCTAGATACCAAGGCGCGTAATCTTGGAGTCTTAATTACCACAAACACTTGGATTCATTTCCAGGACGCCGTGGGAGAAGCCTGGCAGGGAATATGCAGCCCTGAGCTAGAGACAGCCCTGTCTGTCTGTCCATCTCTCTGCCTCCAGGTCCCCTCTCCCTGCCCAAAGGACTATGGGTCTGGAGCAGGGAGGAAGGGTGGAGGCTGGAGAAAGAACCAAGACCCAGTGCTGGGAGCTGCCCTGGTGGGCAGGAGCTGGGAGCTGCAGTCCTGCCCTGCAGCCCCTGGTGGCTGGCTCACCTGTTGATAGAAGAGACGCTGGGCACCGTGTCGTTGTCGCAGATGCCCTCGGCCAGGAGCCGGTCTCGGATCTCCCAGGCAAACATAGTTGGGTTCTGACGTTTGTATTCAGCAATCTTGTCCACCACTTTGGGCGTTGCCACTTTGGGCTTGGAGCCGCCGATCACTCCAGGCTTGATGCTGCCGGTCTCGTAGTACCTGCGCCGGGAAGGCCGGCGGGGTCAGCGAGAAGCAGGCTGTGGCAGGGGCAGGGAGGCTGCAGGCTTCGGAGCCGCTGAGCCACTCTCCCTCCCGCCCGCCCGAGGCAGCAGCAGCGAGGTGGGAAGAGGCCCAGCGTGGCTGAGCCGGCTTCCAGAGGGCGCTTGGCTAGGGCGAGGGACGAAGCGCAGGACGAGGGGGAGGATGAGGGGGACGACCCCGCCAGGGAGGCGGTCATGCCAGGGGCTGCAGGCACACCAGCCTGAATAGGCGCCCCTGGGAGTGAAAGGCTGGCCTTTCATTTGGGAAGAGCAAGAGGAACAGCATTTGGTGGACTCAGAGGTGACCGGGGCTAGGGCACCACCTCCAGCCCTCTCCCATTGAGCACAGAGCCCCTGCAGCAACCAAGACCCTTCTTCCGCCTCCCCAGTGCTAATTTTTCTTCTCTCTCGGACCCATTTTCACTCCTCACTCTATTCCTCTAACTCCCAGTCCAAATTAACTCTGCTAGAAGAGGCATCCCTCCCTTTCTGAAGATGGGAATGGGGCTACCTCCCGGCAAGGACCCTGGAACTAGGCAGGCACTGGATAACTCTGCTCCACCCTCGCTCCTGGGGCCGCTGCCACCACTCGAGCGCCCACTCTCCTGCTGGTGTCCTCGACTTTTAGCTAAGTTCTTGGGCTGGAGACCCAAGGCTGGCCAAGAAAAGAGACAGGACATCTCCCAGGGGCAGCTCTGAGGCCCTCACCTGCCCAGGATTTTGCTGACACAGCCGTGGCTGACCCGCAGCTGCCGGGAGATGTCGCAGGGCCGCACACCCTGGTGGGCCAGCTCCACGATGCGCTGCCTCACCACGTCGGGCAGGGGCCGGCCGTTCACAAACACCCCCCCAAGCTGGTTCACACCCCCGTGCCCTGCTGGGGAGAGACAAGAAAAAAACACAACACCCCACACACAGCAGGGACCAGCCATTAGTCAGGGTTCGCGGCCCAGGACGTGCGAAGGGAGCAGGTAGGGCGGAGGAGCATGTTCCCGGACTCGCGGGAGAACGGTAGCCCCCCCCCCCCATCGCAACGTGGAGGATTGAGGTTTGGAACCCGCAGGGCGGTAGAGACGCGGGGGCGCAGACGCTGGGCGGAGGGCTGGGAAAGAACGGGGCTCTAAGAACAGTGTGACGCCAGGGAGAAAGTGAGGGAAGGAATGGAGAAGCAGGGCGACAGAAAAGAGGGAAGAGGGGTAGAAAAACAGCAAACGGAGAATTAATGCCAGCAGGAAAAAATGCAGGAAAGAGAAGAAAGGAAGGGCCGGGCGGAGGACCGAACCAGCGCGGAGCGGGATCCCGCCTGAGCCGCAGCCAAGAGGGAGTTGTCGGCGGCGCGTGCGAGCTTGGAGGCGGATGATTTTGGGGGGTATGTATCCAGCTGACTCCGTACATACAGGCTCCGAGCACAGAGCGGGGCTAAGCGCCTGACATTGCCCACTTTTGCTCCCAGCTTCTCTCCATGTATTTATTTTTACTGGAAGTTGGAGTTTTCCTACCTCCTTCCCTGTGTTTTTGTTTTGTTTGTTGATCGAGAGTTTTTCTTTCCTTTATGTTTTCTATTTTTAGATGTTTGGGGGACCATATTTTACCCCTGGCCTCCCTAGTATGTAAAGTTCAAAGAAAGCCACCTGGAGGAGGGAAGGCTGAAGAGGCTGGGGCACGGAGTCTGCTGCGCTCAGAGATCGGGAGGCAGCGAGAGCTGCGCGGAGCCCGGCAGCAGCGAGAGAACGCAGGCTGCTTGGGCTCGCCCGCCTCAAGCGCTGCGCCAGGCTTGGGGCCCACCTCCTCACCCAGGGCGCGTGGTACAGATCGCCCAGGCGGGCTGAGGGCTCACGGGGCACCCTGTGCAGCCAGCCTGAGCCAGCTCACGTCCCTCTGACCTCTTAGACCTCAGCAGCCGCCCAGGAAACCACGCGACAAGGGCGTTTGCTCTCCTGGTGAAGAGAAGGGCGCTGGGTCTCCAGTCCGACTCCAGCGTGGGCTCCCAACCTCGGAGCCGAGGTGGTCACCGGATGCCAAGCCTGAGGGTGGTGCCCGGTGCCCTATTCTCCCTGGCCTACAGCAGTCTAGAAATCCTGCACCCAGGGCGATCAACCCACAGCCGCAGTTACTGAGCAATCCAAACGCAGAGACTTCTAGCGGCCGAGTTGGGTCGGACCGGGCCGGCAACCTGCAGCCCCTGCCCTACTAGCCTCAGGCGACTTTCGGAGAAAGCGGGGACATCTGCGCCCCGCTAATTTCTCTCCCGTCCTCTTCTGGGGGAGCCAAGAGCAAGGGCCCACAAAACCCCCGGGGAGAGGCCTCTGATCTGGAGGCTGAGGGAGGCCGGAGCCTCTATTTTACGACCCCATCCCCGCTAGTCTCCCTACGTCTAGCCCCACTCCTCACCCCTCCCTTCCCTCCCAACCCCGATCATCAATAATTTAGGCCCCGGGAGAACTCGCGTTACCGTTATGAAAAGGCGGCAGCTGCGGGCAGATTAAAGATGAATAATTCAGCCTCCCCGGGCTCTGGGCCCGGCCCCTCGTCCCCAATATAAGAAGTAGGGATGGGAAGGGGCACGGCGGGAGTCCAGGGTGGGGGCCGGGGAGCCGGCGCTGAGTCGGGCCTGGAATGCGCCACTGCCGCCGGCGCCGACTCGGGCTGCGGCTGCTTGCCGGCCAGCCTGTCAGCCCGCCGGCCCGCGCGGCGATCTCTCCCTTCCTCCAACCACCTTCAGCTTGCCTTGCTCTCCGTTAGGCTTCAAAGTGGCACCCAGTGGACGACTGAGACTCCGAGGATCCCCCGCGGAATCGGCCAGAGAGGAGAGTGAGAGCAGAGACAGCCGGGCCAGGAGGCCGGCGGGCTGGGCCAAGGCGGCGTGTGGACCGGGTTCCACTCCCTCCGAAAAGGAGACCCGCGGCGGCCCCAGGCCCCTGGCTCGGATTTCCTGTGCTTGGAAATTATTTAGGGAAATATATTTCATTCGCAGGAGTATTTTTTAAAGCTCCCCCTGTAATGCTAAATGTATGCTTAGAGAAAAACACAGCTCTCTCTCCTCGGCTCTCTTGTCCGTAGCACAGATCCAAGCCAGGTCTAAAAAGTTTCCCTGTGAAAAGTTACAAATCATCCTTAATTATTAATCTACAGAGAAGAAGTTTTCTATCTAGAGTCTATCTTTAAAAAAAAATCCCACAAAAAAATCTCTGAATTGTTTTCCAAGCTAAGGACATATGACATGAATTAGATAAATTCAAATTTCTTGAAAATAATTCCCTCTTTTCCTATTTTTTCATTTCTTTTCTCTTTTTTTCTGTAACATCCTTTCTGTTTTCTTTCATTTCCTTCCCCTGGTTTTGGTTTCTCTCTCCTTTCTTCCTGGCTTTGGCATTTGCCTTCCTTTTGTTCTTTCCCTCTCATTTTCCTTGTCTTTGCCTAGCCCTGGCAGGGTCACTGGCTGTACTGTCCTCACCAGGGAATGGGAGGCCAGCAAGGAGCCTCCAGAACTGGAAGCAGAGCTTTGCTCTGCCCAGGGGCCGCCTGGAAGCCTCCTCTACTCCATCTCTTGCTGACTTCGATTTCTCCTTGGAACCCCTCTTTGTTTTTAGAGCATCTCCCAGGGAGAGGTGGAGAAAGATGACCACGAGGTCCTGCCAATCTCAGACTCCCAACTCAAGGAGAAGGGAAGGGGAAGGAGAGGTAGGGGAGGTAGAAAAGAAAAGAGTAAGGAAGTATTTCAAAGCAGCCCACAAGAAGCCTTGGCTGGGCTGGCAGGGCCCAGAGATGCTGGGAGCTGAGGGTCAGAAGGGGGCACCCCACCCCCACACTCTTCTGCCTGATTGTCCTGACACTGAGGCTGCCCATGCTAGGAGTCTCCTCCTGGACAGCCACACTCTAAGTTCTGTGTTACAGAGAGGTAGAGATGAGGGGAGGGAGGAGGAGGCAGAGAGGGAGAGAGAGAAAGAAAACAACACAATACAAAACCCTGAAAACTGCCTGTCTATTAGTCCCCCAGCCCAGGGCAAGAGGGTGACCAGGGAGTAGGGTGGCTGGAGCCAGGGCCAGGGGCTGTGAATTCACGACCTAAGAAGGAGCAGGTGGAAGGCAGGCAGGTGATGGGCACCAGGGAAAGTAGGAAAGCAGGCAGAGGGAGAAGTATCAGTGACAGAAAGAAGGGAGAGAAACCAGAGGCCTTAGAAACACTGGGAAATGAGGGAAAGAGGGAGGAAAGGAGGGACAAGGAGAAGCCAGCGTGGGCTCCAAGATGGGACATGAGCTCAGGGGGCTAGGGCCGCGCCAGGATGGGAGAGGGTTGGGACTGGGAGCCCCGAGCTGGGACAGGAGCCGGGCGCCGGTACTCACGGTGCATCGCGGAGAAGGGGTCTGCTTTGCAGTGCATATCCATGGGGAGGCAGAGGAGCGGGAGCAGCGCGGCCGCCGCCGCCGTGTCGCCTCTCAAACTCAACTTCAGGACTTGAGGAGAAAAGGGAGGGACGGTGGGGGGGAGGGTGAGCGGGCGCCCGGCTCCGGCGGGGCGCCCGGGGGCGGGGGGCGCCGCGCTGCGCTCCCCGCAGGGACTCCTCCCGGGCCGGCCGGCCGAAGATTGCAACCGCAGCCAGCGGCCGCAACTTCCCACCGTCGGGGCGCGGGGTTGGGCGGTCAGCAGAACGGCCCCAGGGTGGCGGGCCGGGCCGGGGGGATCTGGGGGCGCATGGCGCGCGTGGCAGCTCCGGCCAGGGCTGAGGCTGGGCGGGGGAGGCGACTCGCTCAGCTCCCCTGGAACTCTGTCATCCGAGAGGCGGTGTTCGGAAAGGGCGAGGAGCTGGGGCGGCCCGAGGGCGCCCGGCGGGGGCCGGGCAGCTCCAAGTGCCGGTGAGTTGGCGAAGTTGGCAGAGAAGTAGCAATCCTCGGGATGTCCGAGCGGGCGCCTTCGGGAGAGGAGAGCGCGAGCCGGGCCCCCGCCCCCGGAAAAGGCAGGCGCACGCCGCCGAGGCCGAAGGGCCGGGAGGGAGGGAGGGAGCCGAGCGGCGCCGGCAGCACTAGGCTGGCCCCAGGTGGGTTGCGGCTGCGAGAAGACTCGGCCGGAGACTGGAGTCTCGGCTCCCGGTGTGTGTCTCTCTAAAAGCTGCAAAGCCCCCTCCAGACCCCCTCCCCCTCCCCGCGCTGGGAGATGGATGACTTGTCAGACAAAGGCAATAGATTCCACCACTCTGTGATTCGCCAGCGCTGGAGCCCCGAGCCTCGGCGAGGAGGGCCCCGCGCCTGTCACTCCGGTGCCGGCGAGGGGAGGGTAGGGGAGGGGGAAACGGGAGGGAGGGAGGGAGCGGGCGAAGAAAGAGGGAGGGAGGGGAGCGGGCAAGGGGGAGGGAGAAGGGGAGCCCGGGATTAAAACTACACTGAGAAATGAAACTCGCCGATAAGATAAACGTTAGATAAGGATAAAGAGCGGCCAGTCTAATGAATATTCAGGCAACGACAGAGGGCCGCGGAGCGCGCCGTGCTCGGAAGCCGGGCTCATAGTCCCAACTCACCCAGCCCTGCCATCCACCGGCTAATGCCCGCATGGTCCACGGGGCCCCGAGCCAGGGTCGCATCCCTAGTCCTAACCCTCTTACTCTCAGCTCTGAGTTCCCTTCCGTTCCTCCCTGGTTCTTCCTTCCTCTCTGGTCCTTCCCTTTCGCCTTTCCCTCCTGAGGTACCTCCCCACCCACGCACCCCCAATTCTCATTCCGGGGCAAAGTGCCCCGTCAGTTTGTCCTCTCCCGTCCCACGCGCGGCTGCGCGTAGGGCTTCCCTCGTCCCCTTGCCCATCGGAGTCTGGGCAGTCCAGAACGCTCGATTTAGAATCGAGTTGGAGACCTCCGGCAAAGACCCACCTGCCTCAGTGGGACCCAGCGGACAATGGGAGAGCCCAAGGACTTGGCTCCTGGGCCCTCCGGTGGCCGGGGAGGGGGGTGCTTGAGGAAGGAGACGGCGCAGAGCGACTAGTCTTGGAGGCAGAGGACGCGGGAGACTAGGGCTTGCTCTCCCCGGCTGGGGAGAAGAGGCTGCGAACGCGGCTGAGCGCCGCCCGCTGCCAGCTTGGCGGTTCCGGAGCTAGTGCACAGGAGGCGCAGCGCGCTGGGCCCGGCCTCGCTCCTGCCAGAGCCGCTGGCCCAGCCTCTGCAGACGTCGCCCGCCCTGGCTCCCTCGCTCGCTCGGGTCCGCTCTCACGCACCAGGCGGGAGAAGCCCTTTGTCTCCTAACTGGTTAAGTACAGAATATCCGGGAGATCTTTATGAAATATTTTCCCTCGTCTCATAAATCATCTTGGCACTTCAGCTGATGTTTTAACTCTCCCTCCTTCGCTCCCTCCCACCGCTTCCCTGGGTCTGCGAAAGGGCGGCTCAGGGAAGCCCGCGCTGCGCTCCGGCCGCCCGGACTCAAGGCTCCTCTGGCCCCTGACTGCAGTCCCTGGCGCCGCGGAGGCTCCGCGGACTCGTGCTGCTGTCCCACTGGCCGGAGCCCAGACGGCAGCTAGCATGGGGGCCGCATCTGCCCGACTCAGCCAAGAGAAGACTCCACTGGGCCTCTTGCACCCAGGTTTTCCGAGCGCCCTTAATCGTCGGCAGGGCCGAGCTCAGCCCCACAGGGTTCTGAGCCTCCCACTTAGGGGGCCGGGTCCGCAGAGATCCTAGCATTTGCCCTTCTTCCTGGATCCTTCTGAGCCCGATCCGGTTAATCCACCTGCGCAGTAACTTCTGGGAGGAAAAAATCCCTCCCTGCCCGCCCGCCCGCCCCCTCTCTCCCAGCCCCCACCTCGACTTCCTTTGGGAGGCCAAGCTGGTTCCCTTGGGCGGGAGGTGGAAGGCGCAGGATCCAGCCCCGAAGGTCAGTCTCTTCCTCTCGAGACCTGCAGATGGCGCTCCCGGGTTTGCTTTGGCCTCACAACCCCACGAACACGCACTAACTTCGTGTGGCGAGCGAAAAAGGAAAACAGGAGTTCGCGAACCCTAAAGGGAAAGGCTCCCAGGCCTGGGAGCAAGGGGCTCTCAGGTGGTATCAGCTGGTACAGCCTTGGGCTTCCTTTAGGGAGGTAGTTAATCCAGAATTGGGCTGGAGGCGGGGAGGCATCCAGAAAAGGTCTTTACTGGGAGGAGTTCAGAGCTAAAGGAGCCCTTTGCCCCACGTCTCCCTATGTTGGTCCAGGAAGTTAAGTCCTGGGGAGTCTGGACTATTGGAGGAACAAGACTGAGGGCAGAACCCCTCTCTATACATAGATTTTTCTAGAACCAGCTAGACATATCTCTGTTGCACATACAATGGAGTGTGAGTGCAGACAACAGGCATTTTCACATATAGGGCAAGAGAGATTTTCACGTTTTGTAAAGTAGGGGACTTAATGCACAAAATGTGCTGGAAGTTGTACTCACACATCTATCCTTCACATATACCCCCTGAGGCGTGAAGACCCTTCCATGATAGTCCAATTCCCAGGTAGCCCTTGAGATTCCAGAAACCTCCCCTGTTCCTGGGACCCTTTCCCCAGCATTGCACTAGCTGGACACTCACCCCCCCTCCAACCAGGTCAGCCCCTGCTGGCTTCCTCCTTAGCTCCAGCCCATTTCTGGGTCTAGAAAGTCAAAGAGCAATGCTTCCTGATTAGAAATCCTTTTAGCCAAGGCTCTGCCTTCTCCTAGGGCTCCAGGCTGAAGGGCTGGCCTCTCCCTCTGATGCGCCCTTTCCTGTTCTTCCTTTTCTTCTCTATAGAGTCTAGTAGAGGAGAAAAAGGCAAGAAAGGAAAAAAGGGAAAAGGAAAGAGGAAAAGAAACAGAAAGAAAGAAAGCAACTCAACCCCAAACACAACCCGGGCTCCGACCTGTCAGGGTTGGTTGCTTTTCCCGTCTGCCTCTAAATGAACCTTTTCTCTCTGGTGTTTTCAAAGCGGCCCTTCCACCCCCCCAAGCTAGGGGCATTTACACTTCAAACAAGGTGCCCGCCTCCCTGCGGAAATTTAAAGGCAAATAAACTTTTGGGGAGTTGCTCTGATACCCATCTCAGGATTTGCTTCATTAGCCGCCTCCTTGCATCTGATCTGCCCAATAAATCTTCCTTGTGGATCTCTGTTCCTTCGCTTTCTATGCTCCTTTCCCTGCCAGGCTTGCCGGGTGCCCGGAGCGCCCCCCCCCCTTGCCTCCTTCCTCATCGAGGAGTTGCAGCCCACCTGGCTCTCCGCCTGTCCCGGGCCTGCTCTGCCAGGGTGTAAGTGTTCTAGAGGCAGTGGTCCCCACGGAGCTCCCCTACAAGTGTACACATGCACGGGTGCCTCAAGCCAAACCAAGCGCGGCTAGCACCCCAAGCTCCCAAATGCGTTTCTGGGTAGACGGCCCATGAAGTGAAGTGCTCGTACAGACCCTGTCCACCGTCCCCGCTTGCTCCCGGTCCCTTCGCCACTCTTCTGCTTCTTCCCCAGTTTCCCATTTCCCGGCCCAGCGCTTTCTGCCCAGGCGAGGAAAGGCAGAGGCGTGGCCACCTCCTCGCCACAGGCAGGGCCCTGACCGGGCCCAGGCTCCCGACCTCGAGCAGTTTGGGAAGGCGGCTGGGCTGCGGGGCGCCTGGCAGGCACGCGGGAGCATCCCTGCCGTGCCCCTCCCACGTGGCCTGGGCCTGCCTTCCTCCTTCCACTCCTTCCACCTCCTGGGGAGCGGCGAGGGGAGCCAGGGCCGGGGCTCGGAGGGAGGGGATTAGAAATGCCGAAATTAAATGTATCTCCCTAGGAAATGCTCCCCACAGCGCGGACCAAATTAAACGCATTAAAGTTCAGGGGGAAAAAAAGCTGTTTAGAACCAAGGAGGGAAAAACTAGTCCGAAGGGAAGAGAAGCAGAAACGGAGGAGGGAAGAGAGGAGGGTAGAGCAGAGCAGCAGCCGAGCTCCTTTTCTGAATTAGTACCGTTTTGGAAGTTATCACCACCACCACAAAAAAGAAAAAAGAAAAAAGTTCGTCTGACAATCCAAGTCCCGGACGGCTGCGGCCCACTCGCCCCCAGGGGCCCGGCGCGCCCTGGGGCTCATACTCGCGGCGATCAGATCCCAGGAAGCCGGTGCACGCACCCGGGCCGCCTCTCTAGCTCGGCCGGACCGGCTCCCGCCTGGCCCTTTCCCCTCCTCCTCCCCATTCTCTCCCCGCCTCTCCCCCTTCCTAGCCCTCTGGTCACGTTGGAGGATGGGTTTTTTTCTTTTTTTTTTTTTTTTTGGAAGAGCTTCTGGTACAATATGGAGCACCATGGGCTGCAATTTCACACTCCACGGCACATTCCCCCTAAAGCTACTTTCTTTTTTTTCATCTGAGACCCCCTAATTTCTGCTTCCTCGCTCCCTCCCTTGCTCCCTCCCTCCCTCCTGCTCTCACTCCTCTTTTCCCGCTTTTGTTCCCAATATTTGGGCTCCCTGCGTGAAGCCCGGGGGGCCTGACTCCGGGCGGGCCCCGCCCGCTCTGTCTGTTGGTCCTGTGGAGGCCGGGCGCACGTGCTGCGCCTTTATCCTCCCTGGCCCCTCCCCCTTCAACCCGGCTTCTCCTCACAAGAGGTTCTAGCGACCTGCCTAGCCCTTCGCAGCCCCTTGGAGGGGGAAATGACAATGCAAGCCACTTGGCCACCAAAGCGGCCTCTTAGTGGCACGGGCCTGCCAGGTGGCTGCCGCCGGTGGGCCACCCTATTAGGGAGCCGGAAAAATAGTCAAGCCAGGAGAAACTGGGCCAGCAGGTCTATAGGATAGAAGTGGAGGGCTCTGTCCAACAGAGAACAAGCTGGGGGGAGGGGGGCACAAAAGCCCCAGTGAGGCTCTGGTACTTCGGGCTCAGACCTGGACACAGCCTGTCCCCCTCACCCTTAGACACTCATGGTCCTCTGCACAGCTAAAGGGGCCACTCACTCCACAGCCCACAGGAAGGAGCGGCAGCCGCCACATGCAGTCCCTTTGCCTCTTTGAGTCTTAGTTTTCTCACCTGTAAAATAGGGATATTTACACCTGTCTTGCCTACTCCATGGAGCTAGCCAGTAGGAAAGCATTTTGAAAACCAAACATTTCTATAGTAGACTAAGGAATAAGTGCCTAGTTTCTGACCCCTTAATCTTCCACAAAGAGGGAAGGGAGGGGTCTGGGCGCTTAGGCAGGG